TTCAACTCCTTCCCCATCACTGTGACGGTCCCGCAGGAAGTCTCCAGGCCTGCTTTATGGAGAATGTGGTGGAAAAAGTGCTGCAGCAATACCACCAGAAGAGCTTGTGAGTGTATGCCCCCCTGCCCCACCTCAGTCCCTCTGGGGCGAACAGCTCCCTGGGGGTCCACAAAACAGGGCAGAGGCATCACTGGAGCTATAGCCAGAGCGCATGCAGGAAGTTGGGAAGCTACCAGGAATTTTCTTCTTTCTTTGGAGGAAGTTCTTTCTGGGTTGATGAGAATCAAAGTGTTGGTTGCTGCTTCTCTGTGATTATCAGCCCTCACCTTCCCCTCCCCTGTTTCTTTTTCAGGGAGGAGTGAGGCGTGAAAGTTGCTTTTCTAAGTGTGGGGGCATCTGCGCCCACTTGCCCCTGAGATGAGCTTCAGGCCCCTCTAGAGAGTTCTGCACGTCACCAGGTGACCAGGTCCTGGGCTCGAGGCCCTTCTGACCCCACCAGCCTCTCTTTCCTCTGAACTCCTCTGAAACACACTGATGCCTGCATTTGCTGATCACTGGAAGAACTTGCTCACATGCCACTAGCTCAATAAACCGCCTTGTAATCTTGAATGCTCTGCTGTGTCCTCTTTTTTAAAATGTTTTGGTTTCGCCCTGAGGCATGTGGGATCTTAGTTCACTGTTGCGGTTGATCAGTCGCTCAGTCTCTATTGATTTCTATTATGACCCACCAGGCTCCTCTGTCCACAGAATTCTCCAGGCAAGAATATTGAAGTGAGTAACCATTCCCTTCTCCTGGGGATCTTCCTGACCCAGGGATCAAACCCACACCTCCTGCATCGGCAGGCGGGTTCTTTACCGCTGAGCCACCAGGGAAGCCCCCTTTAGTTCACTGACCAGGGATCCCACCCACACTCCCGGCATTGGAAGTGCGGCGTCTTAACCACTGGACCACCAGGAAGGCCTGGTGTGCCCTCCTTAGGCTGGTTGTTCTGTTTGTTTGTTTGAACCCCTGAATATCTTCATTTGGATGTGGGAAAAAAGAGAAAAGAGAAACCAATGGCTGAGATCGTATAGTCTCAGATAGTTGAGAATAAAAGGAGTGGGATGATGAAGTTGGTCCAGTTCAAGGATTTCTTGCTTTTAGGAAGAGACATGCCCAGCAGCCAGCTAAAGCATGTTTCTGAAAAATGAACCTTTTCCATTTTCTTCTAAAGTGGATACATACTGTGATAGGGGTGAGGGTGATCTCCCGAAGGAATATATTGAAAATTATGGTGCATAAGGCATACTGGTTATTTTGATACATAATTGATATTTCTCTTCTGGAAAATGTACTCCTCCCCAGAAAACAAAATGAGGAAATTTTCTTTTAGTTGTGAGAGCTTAGAATCCCTGTGAAACCTTCTTGACTGTGGCATTGCTTGTTTACTGTCTGTTCTATACAACCTTTGTATCTTTCCCTCAACCCTAAGAATTTCTCCTCTGCCTGGGTTTTTCCTGTTAACTATTCACCCCTCGGGGCTTCTCAGGTGACTCAGTGGTAGAGAATCCACCTGCAATGCAGGAGACGCAAGTTCAGTCCCTGGGTTGGGAAGATCCGCTGGAGGAGGAAATGGTAACCCACTCCAGTATTCTTGCCTGGAGAATGCCAGGGACAGAGGAGCCTGCTGGTAACAGCCCATGGGGTCTCAAAAGAGTCCAACACGACTTAGCTACTAAATAGGAGAGGGTGAGATGTATGGAAAAAGTAACATGGAGACTTACATTGCCATATATAAAATACATAGCCAATGGGAATTTGCTGTGTGGCTCAGGAAACTCAAATGGGCTCTGTATCAACCTTAGAGGGGTGGGATGTGGAGGGAGATGGGAGGGAGTTTCAAAAGGGAGGGAATGAGGGCGTTCCGGAGCAAGGCAGCTGGACTACGGAAAGCGACTGGCGGAGGCCAGCAATAGGAAACTCTGGGTTCTGGGTGCAAAAACCCAGGGTTAGGAGCCTCAGGCATGCTGCGTCCCAAGGCTTTGACCCAGGTGCTAAGCCAGGCCAACACTGGAGGTGTTCAGAGCACCCTGCTGCTGAATAACGAGGGATCTCTGTTGGCCTACTTCGGCTATGGGGATACAGACGCCCGGGTCACCGTGGCCATCGCCAGTAACATCTGGGCGGCCTACGACCGGAATGGAAACCAAGCGTTTAATGAAGACAATCTCAAATTCATCCTCATGGACTGCATGGAGGGCCGTGTAGCCATCACGAGAGTGGCCAACCTTCTACTGTGCATGTATGCCAAGGAGACCGTTGGCTTCAGAATGCTCAAGGCCAAGGCCCAGGCCTTGGTGCAGTATTTGGAGGAGACTCTCACCCAAGTAGCAGCATCATAATGGGTGCTGGTGGAACCTGGGATTCAGAAGAGTGAGATGACCATGTGGTGGGGCAGGGCTCCCTGGGGAAACCTTCCTGGACTGTTGCAGGGGGTTGTAGTGGGGGGACTTTGTTCTTCCCAAGAATAAACTTCAACTGCTGTCTCGTGAAAAAAACAAAAAACAAACAAACAAAAAAACAAAAGGGAGGGGATATATGTATACCTATGGCTAATTCATGTTGAGGTTTGACATAAAACAACAAAAATTTTTAAAGCAATTATCCTTCAATTAAAAAATAAATTAAAAAATTTTCTCCCCTCACTCTGAAATATAGCTGTTCTGCAGTACCCCCAGATTGCCAGCAGGTGGCACTGACTAATTGCAGTACTTCTCTCCACATTAAGAAGCCTTTCCATTTATGAATCTTCTCTAAAGAAGCCTGTTCATCAAATATACATCAAAGGGAAATAAAAACCATCTGCCTGCACCCCAGGTCTGTAACAAAATCCACATGTAAATTAAAGCTTAAAATATTCTTAGTTTACTATTCTTTTTCTCTCTTAAGTTATAAGCACCCTTGCCAACAGATGACAATGTCTATTAGTTTATGTTCACAGAAGCTAGTACTTTAGTATTGCTATCAAGGAAATTCAGAGGAAGGTAGGTTTATGTGATTCACTTAAAGATATACATTAATTAGGGTATGGTTCAGAAAGGATTTGCTAAAATGACCATAATTGTAAAGTATGTATTACATTAATGTCACTTACTACATTTCACAAGTTATTTTCTGTTTTCCACTATGCTGCTGGATGTTGGAAGTCACTATACCCAGTTGTTGCTTCTTTTTATGCAACTCCCTTTAAATTCTAGACTTGCCCCTTAAAAACAGAGTCTAGGACTTCCCTGGTGGTCCACTGGCTAAGAATTTGCCTGCCAATGTGGGGAACATGGGTTTGATCCCTGGTCCGGGAAGATCCCACATGCCATGGGGCAGCTGAGCCTATGCATCACAACTACTGAGCCCATGTGCCTAGAACCTGTGCTCTGCAACAAGAGAAGCCACCACAATTAAAAACCCATGCACCACAACTGCTTGCCCTAACTAGAGAAAGCCCACATGCAGCAATGAAGACCATGCGTAGCCAAAAATACCATACCAATGAGAGCCGACTCACGAAAAAGTCCCTGATGCTGGGAAAGACTGAGGGCAGGAGGAGAAGGGGGGCGACAGAGGATGAGATGGTTGGATGGCATCATCGATTCAATGGACATGAGTTTGGGCAAACTCTGGGAGATAGTGAAGGATGGGGAAGACTGGTGTGCTGCAGTCCATGGGGTTCGAAAGTAGACATGACTGAGAAACTGAACAACAATAAAAGCCAAAAAAAAAAAAAAAGAGAGAGAGAGAGCCTGAAGCTGACTCTGAGTTTCATTGAATGCCCCTTTCCCCTTCCTGTTTCCCTCTTTGCACAGTGACCTGGTTTGAGGGTCCTTGGATGTCCCTCCGTCTCTGATAGAAATCCCAGCCTGAGGCCCCAGAGAGCCCTGAAGCAGGAGATGAAGTCACCAAGGTGTTGAATGAGACAGGGTGGGGATCTTCCAGCTGGGGATCTGTGCCTAATGGGCCCTTGGTTTCTAGCTTCTAGGATCCTTGTGGCAGAGAGGGAGCAGGGCTTGATGTTCTGAGAAGAGAGGGCTTGACCTCTGCCTGGTGCGGAGGGTGGCGCGGGGGCAGGTGGAATCATGAACCCTGCTGTCAGCCTCTGTATCGCCACTTGGCTGTCTTCTGCCAGAAACCTATGATTAGATATCGTCTCTGATGACCATGAAGTGAAATGACACCAGAGTTGTGCAGTGTGCAGCCTGGGCAACTGTTACCAGGAGCCCTGGGCCAACCACAGTTCTCTAATCCCTGGGCCAATTATTGTGTATAATCCCATCAGTTCCCCACAATTAGCCTCAGGTCAGTGGTTATTTCCTCCACAGCATAACAGCTGCCTGGGGTGGTGGCGGCAGCTTTCATGTGAGAAGTGCCTAGAGGGGAGAAGACCCCGCCGGAGTTCCTTGCGGCCCACAGAGGCCATAGAAGGAGACCGCGGGTTGCAGCCCTACCCTGTGAAGTAGCCGGGAATAGGGGAGCGGTGGGAGCCAAGACGCCCCCAGAAAGTATGCAGAAGGCGAGAGCGCGCCACCAAGTGGTGGGGCTGGGGATGACAGTCACGCAGCTCAGGACTCCCCAGGCTCCTGGCGTCATCTCTCCCGGGGCTACATGGTCACGGAGTCACAGTGACAGGATTGGAAGAAAGTGGTCAACAGGTCACAGAGCCTTTGGTCCCCCTGAGGGGGCTGGAGACTTGGGCTGCTGGCAGGGCCTATGGAGGACACAGGGGCCAAGTTTAAGGCCCACCCAGGGACACTGTTCCCTTGTCCGTGATGAGAAGAGAACAATGGCAGAAGCAGCCCGCGCCAGCAGACCAGGCACGACCCTCCCCCGCCTCAGAGGAGCCTGGCCGGAGCGAGGAGGACGGGGGGCGGGGCCAGCGTGTGGCCACGCCCCTCCCCACTCTGCTCAGGGTCTCAGAGCGCCAGGGGTGCAGCCGGTGCGCCCCTTCTCTGACGGGGAGAGAAAGCGCCTGGCTTTGCACGGGAGAGTGACGTTCCAAAGTACACGCATCCTTTTATTACCTGTGAGATGCTCAGGAGGTAAAACAATCTGCTCTCGCTGTTATCAAGTGACGAGAACAGTGGTCAGAATGAAGAAAACTGCTTCTTTTGTGTGCCTCCGAAGGAATGGAAACTCCACAAGAAACAGATTCCCAGAGTCGCAACCGCAGTTGAGCAAGAGCTTCAGGCAGGAAGTGGACCCAGGAGAGGTCATTGCAAGTGTGGGTGTAGACATACTGTGTGTGCTCAGTTGCTCGGTCGTGTCCTACCCTTTGCAGCCCCAGGGACTGGAGCCTGCCAGACTCCTGTTCATGGGATTCTTCAGGCAAGAGTACTGGAGTGGGTTGCTGTGCCCTCCCCCAGGGGATCTTCCCGACTCAGGGATTAAACGTGTGTCTCTATGTCTCCTGCGTCGGCAGCGGAGTTCTTTACCACTTGCCACCTGGGAAGCATAGACACAATATGAACCATTTATTTACAGAAATGCAGAATTGAGATCAAATCCAAGTCTGACTCTGGGGTCCGAGGCCCCTGCCCCAGTGTACTCTCATGACCGAGCATTTGCCTGGGGTTTTCTCACTGTGACAGAAAGGCTTGGCAAACCCAGGAAGTATCAGTGTTGAATATAGATCTAAAGACAACTCGAGGACTCAGGTCTGCAGAATTTATTAATAGAACTGACGCCTGCCAAATCAGTCAATAAGAAAGCAAGTAAATGCTGGAACACATGGAACAAATTTACCAGGTTAATAATGAACTCTTTGTTTAATAAAAAACTCTCTGTTCTTTCATTTTTGGCCAGGTAGCTCCAAAATCAGGAAGCCTGTAACCTTGCTCCCAGATGAGAATGGACAACAGCAGTACCGTGTAGAGGCCGGGATTTGTGCTTACCTGTTTGTATCTGTCATCTCCAGCACTCTTGCTTATAGAACTCCTGCTTATAGAACACTCAGCTTATAGAAATGAGTCCAAAGATGTACATAAACCCTCCCCCAGTGACAGGAAAACCATCTGAAGGGCAAGTGACACTGAAGGGTCAAAAAATCACCATCTTGGTATAAACAGTAATGAATTATAATAAATTCTGACTCAGAAATTGCTGAAGAACAGGATCTAAGAATATTTACTGGTAAAAGATAGGTGTTCAAAGGTGACCTAGCTTCCATCATTGCCTTTAATAATTAAATGCTTGCTATTTATAAATGCAGCGACTTTAACAAATTCTTATTTTACACAGATATAGGCAGGTTTGTGTTATCTAAATGCAAATCTAATTTGGTTTGAAATCCTAAAAGTAGAACATTAATCTAAATGATAACTTTCCTAACACTTTTTTCAGAGTTTTTTTTTTTTTTCCCTTTTTAATGACTCTTTGTGGGATCCTGGTTAACAATGTGCAACCTTAGAATCACCACTGATTTTCTCTGTTTGTGTGTGTGCGTGCGCTGGGCCACACGGCTTGTGGGACCCAGCTTGTGGGATCGTAGTTCCCTGACTAGGGATTGGCTCCATGGCCCTGGCAGTGAAAGCCTGGAGTCCTAACCACTTGACTGCCAGGGAATTGCCTGTTTTTTTCAGTTTTGAAAACCTAGATAGATGATGAATATACTTAAGCCTGAGTGAAGCATAAGTGGACACTGGAACAACTCTTTACCTGCTCCTCTCCCCCAGTACAGGTCTATGAGCCCGTCCTTGCTGAAGAACAGCAATCCCTGTTTTCCCCAGAGGCTTTCAATACTAAAAACACTGACGCCTGAACTTGCATCTTTAAAGACGTATTTCAGGATTTGGGTGTTTCTGGAACCGTAACTTTAACCCAGCCTTCCATAACAGTCTTTTTACTTTCTAGTACAGAACATGACACTGTAACGATGGCAATGAACTGCTTCAGCTTTTTCACTTTTGCAGAAGCTAAAACAACTTCCCCAACATATAAAGGGGCTGGAAAGTTAATTTTCTGGGAAAGAAATACACAGCCTGGCCCCGGCATTTTAGTACCGAGGAAAGCTGAAATATGTCCATTGATCAAAACTCCATGGACAATTGTTTTTCTAAATCTGGTGTGTTTTGCAAATCTTCATTTAAGTGCAAAGGATTGACGTCCCCTGTTAATTCTGAGAAGGTGGCCACGTCCCTCTGGGTGAAGGCCCCATCTCCGACTTCAGCCCAGTCTCCGACTCCGAAGTGCATGTGCTCTAAGGGCTGCCTGTTCGGTACTGATTGGCTCAGGCAGATTCTCCTGTGAAGTCAACCCCACCACAGGTGATGGCTGGACATTACTGGGAGCATCTTCAGCACTCTCAAATTCCATCGACAGGAGCTTTTGGGCTGCTTCAGTCTCCAAACATTATGCTGGCACCAAAAAGTACTTTTGGGAGAGGAATATTTTCTCAAATTGAAGACTACTCAATTCAATACTAGTTCCCTACTATTGCCAGATAATGCAAGAAGTGGAGAAACCTGAATCACTCTGAAATCACAGTTCTTGCCTTTATAGGATCCTAACAAGGTCAGAGAGCTCCACAATTTGACAAGACCACTGCTGCAAATCCTCAGGATGGCTGACAGGGTCTTCTCTTCATAGGTCAGAACGTCCAAGGGTAACGCAGCATCAACCTCACCAAAGAGGACCTTCAGGGCTAAAATAGCAGCTGTTTGAATTTTGCACCATTCAGTCCAATCCCACAATCTTGAAATTCTAGGCGGACTTTCATGTCGTGGTACTCAGAGGGATTTTTGTAAACAGTTCTTTTCTATGTGGCATCTGAGGCTGGCATCTTTTTCCAGTGCTGATCACATCTATATTGAGTCAAGAGGGTGTTGGGCACTTGAAGTCGTTTTCAACTTTCTTTGGACTAACTTCTGCCACTGATTTCTCCCCTACCTGGGGCCAGGCGCATGCGCTCTGCACACGTGGTCTCTATCCTCGCGACTGAGACCGCGTTGTAGAGAGAGCCCGGGGATGGTTCGCGGCCCGGCCCCGCCTTAGTCCGTGGCTTCCGCCGCCAGAGCGGGAGGTACCCAAGGCCGCTCCTTGCTGCCCGCCAGCCCTCCGCCTTCTGTTTTCATTTTTTAAATTATTTTATTTATTTGACTGGACTGGATTCCACTGCGGCAGGCAGGATCTATTTCCTTGATCAGGAATAGAACCTGGGGTCGCTGCATTAGGAGCAGGGAGCCTTAACCGCTGGACCAGCAGGGATATCCTCCACCCCTTCTCAATTTGAAACCTACTTTTGCAGGAAGAAATCTGTTCCCTCTTGCCCCGCCCCCATCCTCCAGGGTTTTCTCCCTTTTCTGAGGCCCTTCTGGTGGCTTCGGAGTTTGAGACTAGCCAGTTTCACGCCTTTAGGGTCAGCCTTGCTTGCCTTCGTGTGTGCCCAGTTGTGTCTGACTCTTTGCGACCCCCCCATGGATTGTAGCCAACCAGGCTTCTCTGTCCTTGGGATTCTCCAGGCAAGAATACTGGAATGCGTTGTCATTTCCTTCACCAGGGGATCTCCCCAACCCAGGGGTCGAACCTGAGTCTCCTGCATTGGCAGGCAGATTCTTTACCACTGAGCAACTTGGAAAGCCTTTGAGGTTCCTCTTGAGGAAAGCCTTTTGTTCCTCTTGAGCCTGCACCGCGCAGGATCCCGACAGCTGCCACCAGGGGGCGCCACGAGTCCCTGTTCCAGGGCTGAGGGTGGATGCTGACCTTGAGAAGGACCAGAGCTGTGCTGTGGCTCCGCAGATGCTGGGCTTTGCTGCACTGCCGGCTCCCGCCAGCTGACCCACACGTTCCTTTGTCTGTCTTCCAGTCCGAGCCCCTGCAGGTGGTCAGGTTGACGTGGCCGGTTTGGGGTTATCCCCATGCAGAGACACCTGCAAGTGAAGTGAGGGGGCATCCGTCTTGGTTTTTAAATGTCCCACATCTTTGCATTTGGGGAGGCTTTCTGATCGGTGGTGCATCCTTCTGGGACCCTCAGAGGTCACCTGGAACCCTCCTTTTCTCTGCTGTGCACCTGTAGGGTGCAGGGGCCAGGCGGCCACGTGAGGGGAGAAGCTGCCCACAGTCCACTCACTCCGCTTGGTGAAATCTGCATGTTACTTTTCGGCTGGTGACTGCTCACCCCAAATTTGACTTTGAGGGCCACCCGCAGCCCAACAGCCCTGATGCTGTACTGCGACTGAGCTTCACACTGGCCCAGGAGGACCTTTTCCTCATCCTTCCAGCCTACTTTAAAGATGCTGCAGATGATCACTGTTTACTGTTCGAAGCACAGGTTCTGAATCTCAGTGCCCATGATTTTCCGAGTCCCCTGAGGTGAGGAGAGTGTTTGCCACTGAAGCACAATATGACCCGAGGCTTGGGCCTGAAGACAGCACTGGGAGAGAGGGGAAGACAGCCAGTGGGAATCTGGACCAGCAATGGCCAGCAGGAGGCGAAGGAGGAGAGAAAAAGTCGATCTGCAGCAGTGGTGGATTCAGGAGCACAATTTATGGCCTCAGTATACACTCAGTCTCAAAAGGACTCTGCAATGAGAATTTGGGGGAAAAGATGACCTTCAGGCTTTAAAAGGTCTCAAATCAAAGGAAGACTAAATTATAATTCATCAAAAGCCTGATCTAGGAAGGGGCCTCGGGTTCTCTGGTAGTTAGAAAGTCTATTTCCAGAATATTCTTTGACCTCAGCATTCCAGGAGTTGATGTTTAACTGAATCTCAGGTTTTGGACTTAAGCCGTTGCACTGGGTCTTCCTTAAAGCCTGCACTTGTCCTGGGTTTCATGTAAGGTGCCATAAAACACACAGCAAGCATGGCACTCCTGCCTGGGGCAGAAATGCCATCTAAAATTTTGAAAAATAAAACATTGCTCAAAACTTTAAAACACAATTACATAATGGAATAGAATACAAAATCCACAGATTTTAAAAATTGAATTCGAGCTATTGAAAATATGGGTTTTGAGATGTACCTTGATTGAAATATTTAGGGGCACTGTCTTTCCTAAATTGCTGTGTCACATTGAACAAGTTTCCTCAACTCTCTGAGACTTGGTTTTCTTAGTACAACAGGGAGTGACTTGACCTCCATCTTTTCCCGAGCCTCAGGGTTTAGCCCACCACGCTTTTCTTTGTATTAACATCACCAGTCCATCTCTTTCCTTATGTATCAGTCAGGTCCTCCAGAGAAATAGAACCAGTGTATATGTTTATGTTAGACTGATGTCAAGGAGCTGGCTCAAGTCTGACAGTTGTAGGGCAGCCCCACAGGCTGGAAACTCAGCCAGCAGCTCTTGAAATAGAATTTATTCTTCTCTTAGAAATGTCAACTTTTGTTTTGAAGGCCTTTCTACTGTTGCATGAAGCCCATGTGTCGGGAGCCGGCGAGAGAAACCTCGCCCGTGACAAGGTCTGGGTTCAAGGAGCTGGCACGCAAAGGCATCCAGACCTCCAGGACCACTCCACACGCAAAGGCGTCCGGACCTCTGGGGGTTTCTCGAGACCGCCCCAGCATCCACTCCCAGGCCTTTGTCCTTTCATCTTCTGATGCTTGGTGTTCTTCTATGTTCCCTAAAAACTAGTCTGACTCTTACCTAAAATCCCTCCTTGAAACCTTTGCTTGGCAGCAAGACAGTCCCTGGGGGCACATGGGTCCCAGTAAACAGGCCTATCTATCCCATAAGCAAAAGTAGATAGAGTCCATTACGAGATTGAGAAGATTCTTTAGGGTGTGATCAGGAGGGAATTCATGAGACCTCTGACCCTTAGGATTACATACCAGAGCTCAGTCCGCCCGGGGCTGAGCTTCCCAAGATAAGGTTTGTAGATGGCTTTTCACAGTTGACTAGCTGCTGCCATTGAATTGTTTAAAAGTTATGTGTAGGTATTGACTGTTCTGGAAAGTTATTTATGATGTAACCCATGATTATGCACCTGGTACAATCTTATCATTCCCCCCTCCTTAAACCTCTTTAAAGGATTATTGGTTTTAGGGTATATAAGCACTGATGTAAAAGAATAAAGTAGTCTTGATTCTGCACTCAACCAAGACTCGACTCGCTTCCTTTTCTTCGCCGTCACCGCTCATCCAAAGGGAAACCCTGGACTCCGCCGGGGCTGAACCCCAGCACCCATGTACATTGTTATTGTTCAGTTGCTATTTTGTGTCCGACTCTTTCTGACCCCATGGACTGCAGCACGCCAGGCTCCTCTGTCCTCCACTATCTCACTGGAGCTTGCTCAGATTCGTGTCCATTGAGTTGGTGATGCTATCTAACCATCTTATCCTCTGCCACCCCCTTCTCCTTTTGCCTTCAATCTTTAGCATCAGAGTCTTTTCCAATGAGTTGGCTCTTTGCATCAGGTAGCCAAAGTATTGGAGCTTCAGCATCAGTACATTACTGAGGGTCATTTCCTTTAAATTAACTGACTGTAGATGCTTAGTGCTTCCACAAAATACCTTCAGAACAACCTCTAGGTTAGTGTTTGATGAAACGATTCAGACTGTTGTCCAGTAAGGTGACATGTGCCTACCGGCCATGCCTGGTGGTGGGTAGCAGGGCTGGCTTCCTGGGTTAGCTCAGCCAGTGCTGTGCTTTTTAATTGTGTATTTTAGTTTTGGTTGCACCGTGTAGGGATCTTAGTCCCCTAACCAGGGATCCAACCCATGGCCCCTGCGTTGGCGTGTGGTGTCTTAACCACTGGACCAGCAGGAATGTCCCAGAAGGCCCTTGTGCCTGGTTGAATGCTCTGTTGCCATCCTCTTGAAATCTGTTTTTTAATTGAAGTATAGTCGTCTTCTTGAAATTCTTCACCGTCTTGCGCTGGGCGCTGTGATTGACATAGCCTGTCCTACCTAAGATGTAGTTTTTACTCTTGAAACCATGGACTCGGATCGTGAGCCAGTCTCTCTGGGGAAGTTGAGTCCATGGGGACTGACCAGGTCTCCATGGTTGTGCCATTTCCCTGACACTTCATCACACACTCCCTGGCATGGCTATTTAATGTCCTATGAATGTTAGTCTTGTTTCCCTGAATTAGAATATACATTGCTTTACTTTTATTGGCGTAGAAATATATATAACATAGAATGTACCATTTTAACCATTTTTCAGTGTGCAGTTCAGTGGCATTAAGTACATTCACTTTATTTTATTTTTTAATATTTATTTATTTATATGGCTGTACTGGGTCTTCACTCCAGCGTGTGGTGTGGATTGAACCTGGGCACCCTGCGCTGAGTGCAAAGTCTTAGCCACTGGACACCAGGGAAGTCCCAGGGACATTCACTTTATCATGAAGCCATCACCAGTCTCCAGAATTCTTCATCTTCCCCAACTGAAAACTCTGTTCCAGTTAAAAACTATCCCCTAGGCTCCCTTCCTCCCAGCCCCTAGCACCCACTATTCTATTTTCTGTTTCTGTGAGTCTGAATATTCTAGGTACCTCATATAAGTGGAATCATGCAGCATTTGTCTTTTTGTGACTGGCTTATTTCAGTTAGCAGAAAGCTTTCAAGGCTCATTAATTGTAGGATATATCAAAATTTCCTTCCTTCTTAAGTCTATTATTCCACTGTATGTGGAATATGAGTCCACATTTTACTTATCCAACCGTCCATCAGTGGACATGTGGGTTGCTTCTACTTCTTGGCAATGGTGAACAATGCTGATATGAATATAGGAAAATAACAGAAAATAACAAGTTTGAGACCCTGCTTTCAGTTGTTCTGGGTGTATGCTCAGAAGTGGAATTGCTGGATCATGTTTTATGTTTTTTGAGGAACCTCTGTACTATTTTCCTTGGCAGCTGCACCATTTTATTACAGTTTCACCAGCAAAGCACGCAGATTCCAATTTCTCCATGACCTTGACAACACTTGTTATTTTCTGTTGTTGTTTTGAAAAGAGTAATCCTAATGCAAGTAAAGTGACATCTCACTGTGATTTTATTTTCATTTCCTTAATGATTAGTGATGTGGAGCATATTTTCATGTGCTTATTGACAATTTGTATATTTTCTTTGGAGAAATGTGTATTCAAGTCCTTTGCCCATTTTTGATTAGTTTGTTTTTGTGTTGATAAATTGTAGGTGTTCTTTGTATCTTCTGCATATTAGCCTCTTATGAGATATATGACTAGAATATACATTTCTTGATCCAGGAGCCTGTCTTAAGGTTCTTTTAATTCCCTTAAGGCACTTGGCACCTTGTAGATATTCAACAAAAGCTTTGTGAAAGACTAGCCACAACATGTGGGAGGTCAGAGGCCACTTGAAACTGCAAAAGGAATATGAAGAGCATTTTCCAGGCAAGTCCAAGACCCTGGAGGGAAGCTAGGGAATCAGGGAGCCTTCTGCTCCCAAAGGATTACCTTGCAGATGGAGAGGAAGGAGCGGAGACTAAATGAACTCTTGGCCTTTATTAAAAAGAAGGCAAGGAAAGTCCCCCTTTCCAAACATCCCTGGAATAGACATGCTGCAGGTTGGGCTATGGGAGGTCAGGCGGACTAGTGGACCCCCTGGAAGAGGACAGTCCCAGGACAGGGCACATGCCTCTGAGCATCTTAAAGACCCTTGAGGGTGAAAGAAAGCAGGGCTCAGCACACACGACCTCTGTGTCTAAACGTATGTGGGTGGGACTCCTCTCTAGGAGGGTGGGCAGGGCGGGTGGAACCTGAGACTGGCCGAATCCTCCTAGACACACAGAACATTTGGGAGCTTCTCTGTCTCCTGGGAACGGGATGTGGTGACCACAGGCTTGGGCTAAGAGGATGCTGCTGGAGAAGTAAAGGAATTTAGTGCTCTTCCTTACACGGGGTGCTGCGAGGATGAAGGAGGTAGGGGATGCCCAGACCCAGGTTCCTTGCTGTGGGTCAGAGCAGCTGTGGGTGTCCTGGCAGAGGGCCCCAGGGGAGATGTCTGTTCCCCATCAGGACAGCGGGACGCTGAGCCTTCAACCCTGTGGGAGGTGGGCCTGGAGGTGGGATGAGGTGGGCTAGGCTTGTTTTCTGTCTGTGCTTCAGTAGAACACCTTCTCCAGATAGGCATTCAGGAACATCCCCGTGGGGTCCAGCTTTTCTCGGATGGCACAGAACCTCTGGAAGGCTGGGTACATTTTCTCAAAGTCCTTCCGGGTGCAGTTGTGGGCCTGAGGAAGCAACCGGAGACAACAGGCTTTGTTTCCTGGAGCTGGCATTTCAGCAGGGCTGCAAACCTGTGTTTGTGTGTGTGCATGTGTGATCCCCCATCCCTAGGCACACAGAGAGCACACGCGTGCAGGTATATGCATGCACACACTCACACACATGCATGCACACACGTGCATACCCACACCCATGTGTGCATGTATGCACATGCATACATGCATATAGGCTCATGCACAAACCCACGTGTGGTGTGTGCGCACATATGCACACACACAAACATGCATGCATGCACATACACATGTAATGTGAAGAACCCAAACAGGAGGGAGGAAGTTCTTGGAAAGTAGAGAAGGAAGCGGTTAAAATGCAGTGTTAAAGTTCCCGTTTCATTTGCCACTGGGCAGTGGAGGGGGCTCTGGCCCAGTTCTACTGCTAATTAGTAAGTCCCATCATCTCTGAGAGACCCCTAGTTTCCTGTCTGCTGAATGGACTCATTGCCTTATCCTGCTTATAGGGTTTCTATGAGAATTAAATAAAATGAAAGGTGAGCACTAAAAGCTCGAAGGGAACATGAATGCAGATAAGCTGGTCTGGCTAAGGTAGTGGAGGTCCTCCTTCCTTTGACTTGCTGAGCTCGCGGGTTCCCCACGAGGTTGGAGCCCTGGGCAGGCAGGGCCATAGGGAAGAGGGGCGCCCTCTGGTGGAAGCCCTGGCTCACAGTCGCTGCCCGGCTCCCACCCACGGGGAGGCTCCGACAGACGCGTCCTACCTTGGCCCAGTGGGGCCTGCCTCCCACCTTCTTCATGATGGTCTCGTAGGCCAGCCAGTAGTCCAGCCGCGGCACGTCCTTACCATAGGGCCTGAGGAGGGGGCAGGAGGAGGTGAGGCCACGCGCTTGTCTTGTGTGGGCTCACCCGTGGTTATCAGGCATCTCGCCCAGCACTTGTCCACGGGGCGGGATAGCAGTGACTCAGCACCCTGCAGCTTTTGCTCAGAAGGATTTTGAAAAAGCTCACAACCTCTTACATATATTTTAACTGTCAGCTGAACGTTGCCATAGTTTTGTTGTTCAGTCACTCATGTCCGACTCTTTGCAACCCCATGTGTATGAGTGTGAATAATTTTAAATTAATACATTTTTTTCCTCTGTGTGACACACACACTTATTTGGGCTTCCCTGGTGGTTTAGTGGTAAAGAATCCACCTGCCAATGCAGGAGACTCAGGAGACATGGGTTGGGAAGATTCCCTGGAGGAGGAAATGGCAACCCACTNTGGTTTAGTGGTAAAGAATCCACCTGCCAATGCAGGAGACTCAGGAGACATGGGTTGGGAAGATTCCCTGGAGGAGGAAATGGCAACCCACTCCAGTATTTTTGCCTGGAAAGTCCCATGAACAGAGGGAAAATCCCATGAACAGAGGAGCCTGGTGGGCTACAGCCCATAGGGTTGCAAGAGTTGGACATGACTGAGTGACTAAGCACAGCACATACACTTATTTAAAGATTTGAATTTTAAATCTGAATAGTTTAAAATGTAAATTTAAAAAATTTAATGTAAAGATTATTTAAAAGATACATACAAAAAAGCTTTATAATAAAGAAATAGATAGATATATAAATATTTCTATCAGAATCACCTCATTTGATGTATGGAAATCACGGCCAATGTAACCTAGCTGGTCAGTCCTTGCTGCAAAGTCAGACTCACTGACAGAGAAGAGTCAGAAGTCGCAAAAACTCAAATGTTATGATACAGCCCCAGGGGAATTTTCTTGCTTCTGAATTTGCATTCACAGGCAGGGACAAAACGGACAGACAGCTGGAGGACTGAGCTGGGCCCTAAGTTTGTCCCTGCGTGAAATAAGCTGCCTCCTGTGTGATGTGGGTTTCTGAAATTCTCTTTTCTGGCTTCCGGACCACCCCACTCCAGGACTGCGCCCTCTTAAACTGTCCCTTGGGATCCTCTGAGTTTGGGGGTATTTTACAGACTGGAGTAATAAAGCATAGATTCAGGCTGGGTGAGAGGTGGTCTGTTTATCTTTTACAAAGTCAGGGAAGGACTATTATCAGTGGTGGATGGGAAGGAAGAAAGATGAGTCTTAAGCAGGAAGTTTTAGAAAAGATGAGTTTCTTAAAGTGTGTGTGTCCATAAGCCTCATATGGTAGGTCATTGCCCAACCACTTCAGGAAACAATAACACAGTATGAGCATAAGGCGTCTGCCTATGGCCCTGTGAAGCTGGTTAGATGGGCCTGGTGAGAGCTGGTTAGATGGGTTACCTCGTCCAGGCATAACTCTCTTTTCTGCTGAACTGAAACCTGGCCTCACAGTCCCTCTCAATGTTTCCAGCTCTCAGAATCATTGCCTAGGGCTGCACATGAGACAGCATAAACTTGTCATTCCTTAATATCAGTTTTGCAAAGGGTAGCTTTGCATATTCACATTAACATTTGGCTGTATGCTTAGTCACTCAGTTGTGTCTGACTCTTTGTGATCCCACAGGCTCTAGCCCATCAGGCTCCTCTGTCCATGGGATTTTCCAGGCAAGAATACAGGAATGGGTTGTCATGCCCTCCTCCAGGGGAATCTTCTGGACCCAGGGAATCGAACCTGTGATTTCTGCATTGGCAGGTGGATTCTTTACCACCAGGGGAGTCCATTATGTATTACATATTAATTAATAGTACATATTAATAATAACATTAACAATTATAATTACAACATATAAATAATTAACAGTAATATTACATATTAATTAACATTAATGACCGCATTAACACAGTACAAGGTAGAAAGGGTAGTTGTTGAAGGAGAGAAAGACTATTTTCTGCTGCTAAGACCAGGGAAGTCTCCCTGGTGAAGGTGGCATTTGAACTGGCCTTGAAAGCTGGGGAAGGAGGGAGGGGCTCTTTGAAGCGGAGGACCTGCTTCCGCAGCCCCGCCCCCTTCACTACCGGCTTCCGCAGCCCCGCCCCGAGCCAGCCATTCACCTGTACATGATGATGTTCATGTAGCAGCTGTCGCGCTGGAAGCAGGGGCTCAGCAGGATGTCGTCCCCGCGAGTGAAGCGGACCTCCACGGGGTAGTGGGCCACCACCTTGGGGTTCGCCTCCAGCATGGCCTTCAGCTCCAGCAGGGCCTCTTTGGTCTTCTCTCTGCCCTCGGCCCGGGGTGGGAGAGGGGATGGAACCCAGACCTGAGGAAGGGGCCTCCGGAGATGTTCCATGAGGCTCAGCACGGCCTCCAGGAAGCCCCTTCCTAGTGGCTTCTGCTCTTAAAGTCCTCACGGAAGCAGAGAGCTACCTCCTGCTCCTGCCCCAGCCCCCAGGACCCCCGCCCAATTGGGGGCTCTCCTCCGGGCTCTTCTCTGGCCACAGCTGTCCCAGGCCCTGGCCTCCTCTTCTTCAGACAGGATCAAGCCACTCTGATGCCAAGATTCCTAATTTTTCTAATAGTCCAGCCCTGAGAGTCTGGTGGCCCCAGCCCCTGAACACTGACGGAGGGATCCCCTAAGCCCTGAGCACTGATCCCCCTTTCCCTGGAGAAAGACAGAGAGGGGCAGTTCAGAGAGGAAGCTGCAGCGAGTAGGGTACAAACCTAGCCTCCGTCTCAAGGGGGTCCCTCCCCATGAAGAGGCCCCCAGTCTGCCAGGTGGGCTGTGTTAACGGAGAGCCTGAACACAGGTACAGTTTTTCAGAAGAACTAGATGCTGGCCAAAAAGCCCCACGTTTCAGTCTAAACCTGCTCTCCCAGCCTCACGGCTGGAGAGGGGCCTGTGGGGAGAGTGGAGTGGACCCCATGGCTGGTTTCCCGAGAGCCACAATGGTGCAAGGACACTGCACGGGGACTCAGAACTTCCCGTTTCCCCCAGAAATAACAGGTAGGATGGCTGTGAGCAGGACCCAAAGGGAGCTATCTGTTGCTGACCCACCCGCAGGGTGGCCCGCTCAGCCCTTACCTGGGGATGGCCCAGTCCTGGACATGCTGCTTGAAGCGGCACTCGTAGGTGAAGATCTTGTGGCTGAGGTTGCAGTTTTCCTTCTTCCCGTTGAACAGGAGCCAGAAGAAAAAGCGATTGATCCAGCCCACAAGGCCTGGCAAGAAGGTGCTGGGGGGCAGGGCATAGGGGTCGTGATCATCAAATTATCCAGCAATGGGTAAGTACTGGCTGTGTTGCGGGCAGTGGACCGAGTCCTTACACCGGGGCTTCATTCTCTACATTCTGTGCCACGCGTGCTAATCTGCAGCCTGGAAATCCCTCCAGGGAATGTGAAGGTCCCCCTGCATCACTCTCTCTGTGGCTGACCGGGGCTCCAATTATGGATTTTAGTCTACATTTTAGTCTTCTCTCCCTCTTTAATGACTAGGTTGTTTTTAGTGTTAAAGTGTTTCATCTTAATTGTGATATAAAAGAAAAAACCACATAATATAAAATTTACCCTCTTAACCATTGTTAAGTGTGCAGTTCAGTAGTGTTAAGTATATTCACATGACTGAGCAGTGGATCTCCAGAATCTTGCAAAACTGAAACTCTGTCTCCACTAAAAACTACCTCCCCATTTCTCTCTCCCTCCAGCCTCCATCAACTTCCATTATTCTCCGGCAGCCTTCCATACTTCTCATCTCTATGAATTTGACTACTCTGGCTGCCTCATATAAGTGGAATCACTCAATATTTGTCCTCTTATGTGTCTGGCTTATTTCAGTTATCATCATGTCTTCAAGATTCATTCACATGGTAGTCTGTGTCAGAATTTCCTTCCTTTTTAAAGGCTGTATAGTTTTCCATTGTGTAGCTATATGTCCCATTTTTTTTTTTTATGTCCCATTTTGTTTAGTCATCAGTTGGATAGTTATGTTCACTTTTAGGTTGTGAACACAAATGTGCAAATATCTCTTTGAAATTGTGCTTTTAGTTCTTTGTGACATATAGTCAGAGGTGGAATTGCTGGGTCATAAGAGAAATTCTATTTTTAACTTTTTGAGGAACCTCATACTGTTTTCCATAGTGGCTGCTCCAGTTTACATTCTCACCAACAGTGCATGCATCTTAAGTTGCATCTGAGTCTCTGTGACCCTGTGGATTGTAGCCCGTTAGGCTCCTCTGTCCATGGGGTTTCTCAGGCAAGAATACTGGAGGGGGTTGCCATTTCCTCCTCCAGGGCATCTTCCTGACCCAGGTATCGAACCTGCATCTACTGCATTGGCAGGCGGGTTCTTTGCCACTGAGCCACCAGGGAAGCCAACTCACCAAGACCCAATCCATTATTTAGCTTTCACTGCTGCATCCTTGGGCACATGGCCCAGCTAGCGGCCCAGAGCTGCAAGGGTGAGGCCAAGTGGACGTGGTTTCCAGAGGCCATTAAGTGAGAACCACATGGGTGGGGCTCAGAGGCCATGGAGCTCCCTCAGAGCATGCGTCCCTGCCCGGGATGTGGCCACTGTGATTTAGAGCTCAATTTATTTGGATGCTTTCTGGCTTGGACTCCACAGACACAGGCACATAAAGCTGCCAGGCTGCTGTGATGGAAGGGGAGAGAAGTCTGGCTGGGCATTTTCCACTCTCACCGCTGATCCATCATCTGATGGAGCAATGGCCTCCAGGCTGGACTCACTGTCTTTAATAAGACACCAAAGTCTCCAAGATAAAAGAATAGATGGATACACTTAACAATAAGTTTAAATATGTCTATACACCATAAGGGCTTCCCAGGTGGTAAAGAATCTGCCTGTCAATGCAGGAGACACAAAAGAAGTGGGTTCAATCCCTGGGTCAAGAAGATCTCCTGTAGCAGGAAATGGCAACCCACTCCTGTATTCTTGCCTGGGAAATCCCATGGACAGAGGAGCCTGCTGGCCTACAGTCCAGGGGGTCTCAAAGAGTCTGACACAACTTAGTGGCTGAACAACAACAACAGCAACATACTTTGCATATGTGTTGCCTATATTATTTATGCGTATGAAACATTTCAAAAGTTTCTACCAGATGCCATTCCACATCTTAGCTGAATATAGTGTCACTGCTCAAGGACCTATAAGGCCTTCCTCATCATTCATAGTTATGTGTCTGGATGCTTGAGCCTGAGCACAGACTTCAGGCTGGGAAGGAGGTAAGAAACTGGACAATATGAAGGTTCACATCACCCATGAGCCAGGGTGTGCAACCTGGACATGGGTATTTTTAAAAACAAGCTCCCCAGGATTGGAATTCACTGCTCTGGACTGTGCAGACAGACCCAGTTTGCATCTCTGAAGGTGGGATGTTGTTCTTCTGATGGACCACATCCCCAGCAGTAGATGGCAGGTGCTGGGAAAAGATACAGTGGCATTCCTACCTGATCCAGAGTAGGAACTCCAGTAAGTAGAATCCAATAGCGTAGTCCCAGAACCAGTTGGCTGAAGAGGAGGGTGGCTGGGAAGCAGAGTCTGTGGTCAGTTCTGAGCTGGAACTGAGTGTCCCAGGAGAAGCTGTGTGGGGGCAGGGGGACCCGCTGGCCAGGATGACCGAAAGCCTCATTCCTGGTGGCACTGCTGATTCCCATGACCTGTCCCCTCTGTTTCGTGCTTATGTGATTGTTTTGCTTAAGACCAAGAAGTGCCTGTGTATCTTCTCTGCAGAGCTGATGAGCCTGGTGTCTGGCAATCACCCTTTATGAACCCCATGCCAGCCCCATACACATAGTAGGTGTTCTGGCCTTCGCCTGACTTATCTGGTCAACATCTTCCTAAGTGATGGCTTTATTTTATTCTGCTGAGAAGCAGCCTGTTTGCCAAGGACATGGTGGTGGGGAGACAAAACCATGGGTTTCTTCCCCTGGGGGTGGGAAGGATAGGGTGCTGGAGGGAAGATGGGATGTGCTAGCTGGCTCCTGAGGTCTATCCTGACTGCTTAGGACTCAGTAGCCTGTCCTGCCCACACCTCCATCTTTGCTTCCCTCATCTGCATTGTCCCTTGACCTCCTACCCCTGTATCCCTCCTCACAGACTCACGGACCCTTACTGGGACCACCTTCCCTCTTCCCTCCACCCTCTGGCATTTAGTGGTCCCCTCTTCATGCTCAGGGATGCTCACCCTTTGCTTTTCCTCTCACCTCTCACCGATCATCAGGATGGTAACGGGCTTTAGGTGCCCTTGGAGCTGGGCAGTGGGGGGTGGGTGGTGGTGGGGAGGATGCCCACGGCTACCTTGGTGGTGTGGTCCTGGTAGATTACACTGACGTTCTCGCTGTGTGGGAACCAGAGAAAGCGGAAGTATTCGGATTTCTTCAGGTGACTGTCCAGGTTGTCAAGAACCTGAGGAAGGAGAGGAGATTGTGTTGGTCACAGGATGACGGTGGCGATGCTGGAAGTCAGGGCCCCCCATGGAAAGAAAATATCCCAAATGGTCCTAACATTGCCAAAGAGCATGGGATGTGTCTTATAAGATGCTGGACATTAAGTGGTAATGAATCCACCACCAATGCAGGAGATGCAAGAGAAACAGTTTCGATCCCTGGGTTGGGAAGATCCCTTAGAGAAGGGAATGGCAACCCACTCCAGTATTCTCTCCTGGAGAATCCCATGGACAGAGGAGCCTGGTGGGCTACCATCCATGGAACCACAAAGAGTTGGACATGACTGAGCACATGCATGCCATGGACATTAAAATGATCCACTTATAGGCTGACTTCATTGAGTTATGCAGAGGATAAAAATGAGTTCTCGTTTATCCTGACTTGGACATGGGTTTGGGCGGACTCCGGGAGTTGGTGATGAACAGGGAGGCCTGGTGTGCTGCGGTTCATGGGGTTGCAAAGAGTCGGATACGACTGAGCGACTGAACTGAACTGAACAATGAGTAGCACAGTAAGCTCCGTACAGGTGTAAGCTGCTGCTGCTACTATCACTCTTACATTGTCACTGTCAGCATCACTGTCATCATCACTTGTTCCCACAACCCCTGACACCGCAGTGGGCTTTAATAAGATGAACAGGAGTGTCTGGCTCTGAATAGCTCATCCATACATGTGGAGATGTCACAGAGCAAATCATGTCTCCCTGACACCCATCAGGCTGACACATGACAAATTCTGAGCCAAAGGAGATGCAGATTTGGGAGGGAGAGGGAGAGTGCTGGTTTTGGAGTAAGTTCTGGATTCAAGTCCTGGCCTGGCGGCTTGCCAGTGGCACAACCTTGCTGGATCCATATCCCTGGAGCCTTGGCTTCCCACTGCTCATCCCCCGCCCCCCAACAACATATGGGTAGTTGTGCAAATGAAATGAGATAATTTATGCTGAAGCTCCTGAGTAGAGTGCCTGCCTTGTGGCATGTACCCAGTGGAGAGTTTAGGTTCTGAATGTGAACAATCCTGGCACACATCTGGGGATCCAGCCCTATTCCCCACCAGGTTCCCAGCTGTGACTCTCAGGAAGCAGCATCTCTTCATCTGTAGAACCAAGAAAGAAATAGCTTTCTGTCCTTCTTTTCTTCATTCCTTCCTTCCTTCTTTCCTTCCAGGACTGTTGTGAGAACCAAGGGAGGTCATGGATGTGAAAGTAGTTTACAAGCTGTAAACACAGCAAGATCAAACCAGTCAATCTGAAAGGGAATCAACCCTGAATACTCATTGGAAGGACTGATGCAGAAGCTGAAGTTCTAATACTTTGGCCACTTGATGCCAATAATTGACTCACTGGAAAAGACTCTGTTGTTGGGAAAAATTGAAGGCAAAAGGAGAAGGGGGCAGCGGGGGATGAAATGGTTGGATGGCATCACTGACTCAGTGAATATGAAGTTGAGCAGACTCTGGGAGATAGTGAAAGACAGGAAAGCCTGGTGCGATGCAGTCCATGGGATTACAAAGAGTCGGACATGACTTAGCGACTGGAAAACAACAAAAACAACCTGTGATTTCCATATCTGATCAGAAAGGAAGGAAAAACCAAGGTGAAACACCAAGGAATGAACCCACCTAAAACTTCAATTTGGAGCACCTGGGAGCAGTGGAATTTTAGAATTCTGAATCCTGGTCATCACTTCAGATTGGACCCCTGACTTGTTAACTGATGCTTGATGGGACCCAGGAGATACAGGAATGGGCGGACCGTTGTTGCCTTCCAGTGACCTGGCTGCTATCCCGAACCTGCCCTGCCACATGTCAGCCCAGGCTGTGGGTCACCCTATTCCATCTCTGCTCATATCTCTCCAGCCTTCCCCTAAGGTCTGCTCCTGCTGACGTGGCTTAGCCCGGGCCCTTCTTAGCTCTCACTGGCTCTTCTGCACTAGCTTCATAATTTGCCCCATTTTTCATCTTTCCAGACAACATCTACAGGGAAGCATCCCAAGACACAGTTCAAAAATCCCCAGCAGCTCTCCATTTCCAATGGAATCGGGCCCAAACAGCCTAGCATTAAGAGGACTTCTTCCACACACACTGTCCAGTACTGTTACCATTGCCCACAAGTGACCACGTGGAAAGGGTCAGATCTGAATTCAGATGTGCTGTAATTCAAATGCTCAATTTAACTCCACCCCTACCCCCACCAGGGCTGTCTCCTTCCATTCTAAGTGGTTTTTATTTATATTACATCCATCCCAGAAGCATATTACAGGTACGGAAGCATACATCTGTCCTGAAATTCATCAAGCATCTCATTCACATTTGGTTTCTCCTCGAGGGCAGACATCAGCACATAGTTTTCTGTTAAGGGCCAGATAGTAAATATATTAGGCTTTGCGCTGTTTCCTCCCGTCTGCTGTGGTAGCGTGAAAGCACCACAGACAATACATGAATGAGGATCACTGCGGTGTGTCAATAAAACTTTATTTATAAAAGCAGGTAGTGAACCAGATCTTCCCTGTGGGCCAGTTTCCTAAACCCTCACCCCAGAGCTGCTGGCCTAGGGACTTGGACACAGTAAATGCTGCAGGGTTCTTCCTTGTTGTTCGGTTGCTCAGTGATATCCGACTCTTTGCGACCCCATGGACTGCAGCACACCAGGGTTCCCTGTCCTTAACCATCTCCTGGAGTTTGCTCAAACTCATGTCCATTGAGTCAGTGATACCATCCAACCATCTCATCCTCTGTCATCCCTTTTTCTTCCTGCCTTCAATCTTTCCCAGCATCAGAGTCTTTTCTAATGAGTCGACTTCGCATCAGGTTGCCAAAATATCGGAGCTTCAGCTTCAGCATCAGTTCTTCCAATGCATATTCAGGGTTAATTTCCTGTAGGATTGACTGGTTTGATCTCCTTGCAGTCCAAGGGACTCTGAAGAGTCTTCTCCAGCATCACAATTTGACAGCATCAATTCTTTGGCACTCAGCCTTCTTTATGGTTCAACCCTCACATCTATACATGACTACTGGGAAAACACTATATGGACCTTTGTCCACAAAGTGATGTCTCTGTTTTTTAATATGCTGTCTAGGTTTGTCATAGATTTTCTTCCAAGGAGCAAATGTATTTTAATTTCATGGCTGCAGTCACTGTCCACAGTGATTTTGGAGTCCAAGAAAATAAAGGGCCCTATGATTCCTTATTTGAAGAGGAGGCCCTCTTCTGCTGGGCTGTAGACCCGTGAAAAGTTCAGCAAGAAACACCAGGTCCCTGTCACTATCACTTCCACCCTGACTGGGTGATGGACCCATGACCCATCACCTCTGGGCGGAACCCTTTCTTCTGGGAGACTAGGGAACATGCTCTGGAGCTCTGCCTGGAGGATGGGACTGAGAGAGCAGAAGATCCCCCCTTCTCTCCTGTCCCAGCCTCCAGGGCCATTCTCTGTTGCCCAGAATCTTAGCAGTAAAGTAACAGTGGCACCCCTTTCTGGGAGCCCAGGTTCCCACCCAGAATGGAGTCACGAGAGCCACTTTCACACCATACCTTGTGCCTGTGTCCTGGCATCTGTCATTTCCTTTCCTCCCTGCTTCAGAGGGACAAGGCCTATCTTTCCCCCCATGCGAAACTCTAAGCGCTTCGAGGCGGACAGCACGCACACTCCAGTTCTGTGCCCTCTGCGTCCCTACCAGAGCATTGTGTGGTCACTGGAAGATGGAGCCCCTGCCCTGGCCCGATCCCACTGTGACTCTCTTCAGGGCCTGCAGACAGTCCTATCTGGGGGAGGAGGGTCCCCAGGATCATGTTTCCTCAGTCTGACTGGTGGTTCCCGGGAGCACCATCAAAGGGGGCGGGCCCCAGAGGAATGTCTTCCTTGGCATGTCATTGGCAGGAGGGGTTCTAGAGGGTTCTGTCCCGTCCAAAATGAGCCCCGCTACTGAACTGACTCACAGGACTGATCACCAGGCCTGTGAGCGGAAGCTGAGGGCTCCCTGTCCCATGGTCAGGGTTGCCCAGGCGTCAGTGGCCGGCTGCCCAGGGGAGTGGTGGGCACTGGGATGCTGCTGGCGAGGTCGGTGTGTCCCAGGGACCACCCCTGCTTCCCGTGGAGTTGGGGGAGGCAGTGATCCAGGCAGCGGCTGTACTTCTCACATCTCATTATGGTTTGTGTGGCATAAAGGGCAGCCATTTCCAAAATCCTCCAGTCTTCTCGGTGACTGTGATTTCATACCAGTTAGACTGCAGAAAGTTGGGAATGCTGAGACCTTGTCATAAGAAGCCAGGGAGGCCACCCCTTTCTTGGCCCCTCTGCCCAGAACCACTGATTCCAACTCTCCCTTCCCTTCAGATGGCGTTGAGCAGCCTTCCGAAGCTGTGTTGAGGTGCAGATAAGAGAATCAGATCTGGGAAGCAGGGAGCTGCGTCTGAGATGGACCACACGCAGCATGGGGGTGGGCAGGAGAGGGAAAACCTCAGAGACGGGTGGATGTTTAATAAATTCTTCCTTGTGGCTCAGACAGTAAATCTGCTCTCAATGTGGGAGACCTGGGTTCGATCCCTGGGTAGGGAAGATTCTTCGGGGTTGCCCAGGCGTCAGTGGCCAGCTGCCCAGGAGAGTGGTGGGCACTGGGATGCTGCTGGCGAGGTCGGTGTGTCCCAGGGACCACCCCTGCTTCCCATGGAGTTGGGGGAGGCAGTGATCCAGGCAGCGGCTGTACTTCTCACATCTCATTATGGTTTGTGTGGCACAAAGGGCAGAGGTTGACAGCCATTTCCAAAATCCTCCAGTCTTCTCGGTGACTGTGATTTCATACCAGCTAGACTGCAGAAAGTTGGGAATGCTGAGACCTTGTCATAAGAAGCCAGGGAGGCCACCCCTTTCTTGGCCCCTCTGCCCAGAAGCACTGATTCCAACTCTCCCTTCCCTTCAGATGGCGTTGAGCAGCCTTCCGAAGCTGTGTTGAGGTGCAGATAAGAGAATCAGATCTGAAGCAGGGAGCTGCGTCTGAGATGGACCACACACAGCATGGGGGTGGGCAGGAGAGGGAAAACCTCAGAGAGGGGTGGATGTTTAATAAATTCTTCCTTGTGGCTCAGACAGTAAATCTGCTCTCAATGTGGGAGACCTGGGTTCGATCCCTGGGTAGGGAAGATTCCCTGGAGAAGTGAATGGCAACCCACTCCAGTATTCTTGCCTGGGAAATCCCTGGACAGAGGAGCCTGGTGGGCTGCAGTCCATGGGGCTGCAAAGAGTCAGACACGACTAAGTGACTAAGCATACATTGGTTCTCAGGCACCTGCCTGCTCCTGGAAATGAGGTCTCATCATTTTTCTTTTCGGAAGGAAAGCATTCAGGGGGAGCAAGAGTGAGGAGAAGCTGCTCCGGGGACAGTTTTCTGATCGGTCCTCTTTCCTTCCTCCCTGGACTGCCCTCCTCTGAGGGGAGCAGCCTGGGACTCGGCTTCCCACCTGCATCTTACTCTTCCTCACAAGCATTCCCAGCCCCTTGAAGGGGCCCTTTAAAGGCTGCTCTGAGCAGAGAGGGTAAAAGAGAATTGAATGCAGGGCCATGGACAGCACACGCCCCTGGGAGGAAATCATAGGGTTGTAAATGCCACCTGCCCTCTGCGCAGTCCCTGTCTGTGGCCAGAGACTGGGCAGGGAAGGCTTGTCCACGGATGCGATGGACACTGATGATGGGCCTGGTGGAGACCCATGCAGCTCCGGGCGGACGGGCAGCCGGAGCTGTGCAGAGGGGAGGGAGAGAATCCACAGAGGACCTGCTGACTCACAGAAGAGGAGGCGGCGCGGCATTCAGCCTTGTGAGCCCTCAAGGGAGGGGCTGGGGTCACAGGGGAATGATGGGGGACTCCACACCAGGATTCACGCCCCTCCCCAGGGATAAGAAGACCCAACATCCCCAGATGCTCCAGGTGAGAGAAGGACCCTGTGTCTCCAGGGTGGGGCGATGAGGCGGGGCACAGTTTTGTATCCAAGTAACGTCAGTGCTGGAAAAGACCTCAGGGTTCATCTAGTCTGACCCTACTTTTAAAACGGCAAAGAAGGGACTTCCCTGGTGGTCCAGTTGCTGAGACTCCACGCTCCCAATCCAGGGGACTTGGTTTCGATCCCTGGGCAGGGAACTAGATCCCACATGCTGCAACTGAGACCTGATGCAGACAAATAAATAATTTAAAAAATAAAAAGGCTCCAAAAGTTTGAAGGGCTTGGTCCTGGTAGGAGCCCCGGGGCCAATCCTACTGGCAAAAGAAGCAATCTCTTTATCTCTGGGTCAAATTATTCAGCTTAAAAATGAACAAGTTCTGACCTAAGTGAGAGGCTGGAAGGTGGTCCCTTTCTGGTTGAAGGTGATCTCTGCCCATCTCCTCTCTCTGCCTGAGATGCCGACCCCTTAACCTGCCCGCTGTTCCATTGACACCATGCTCTCTGAGGTCAGCAGTGATCTCCTGATGACCAGACCCTGGTGTTTCTCCCCAACTCCTCACAGCGTTGGACTTGTCTGGCTGCTCTGTCCTGGACACTCAGCACTAAGGCTCCTTCTCTCCTCACCCAAGCCCTTTTTCTGTGGGTGACCACGTCTACTCTCCCAGCCAGTCGCTGAGGGGAGTGTTGACCTCTGCTTTGCACTGAATTGCATTGACCTAAAATGCAACGTGTAGAAGCCCTCATCCTTGGCATGTGACTATATTTGAAGCTAGGGCCTGCTTGGAGTGAACAAGAAGCTTAGATCAGCCCCTTAACACTGGTCTGGGGATGTGGCTAGTTGAAGCAGTCTCTTGAGGTGGCTCAGAGTCTGGGGTGACTCCAAGTGGACTGGTTCCACCCTTTTGGAGCTCGCTGGCTTAGCCACACAGTATCACTGTCAAACAATTCCATGAAATGTCCTTGTAATCCTTTCTTGGGCCAAAGCATCAGGCAACTCATTTGCCAAGACTGGCCCACACGTGCTCAGCATTGATGCTCTAGGAATCAGTGCCGCATCCCCTGGACCAGCAGTCCCCAATATTTTTGGCACCAGGGATTGGTCTCATGGAAGACAAATTTTCCACGGACCAGGATGGGGTAATGGTTTCAGGATGATTCAAGTGCATTACATTTACTGTGCACTTTATTTCTGTCATTACTACATCAACTCCACCTCAGATCATCAGGCATTAGATCTCAAGGAATGGGGACCCGTGCCCAAGAGCATCCCTGGAATCACTTTTTCAGCCACCAGTGGAGAGTTCTGGGGCTAAAGTTCCACCAAACACCATGTGTGCATGCGTGCTCAGTTGCTTCAGCTGGGTCCGATTCTTTGCAACCTTACCGACTTTAGCCCACCAGGCTCCTCTGTCCATGGGATCCTCCAGACAAGAATACTGGAGTGGGTTGCCATGCCCTCCTCCAGGGGACCTTCCCAACCCAAGGATTGAATCCGAAACTCCTGCGTCTCCTGCGTTGCAGGCAGATACTTTACCGCTGAGCCACCAGGAGAGCCCCATCAAACACCATGCCTCTGCATAAAGGACTTTCTGCATTTAAATACTTTGCCGTGAGGTTTAATGTATTAGAAATTCCAATGGTAAGGATTTTTTAGACCAGATGCTAGATAACAGTATTTTCCATTTTTCACTGCCTAGGTACCCTGAGGAGCATATTTTAGTACTGAACTAGGTACTTTTCAAGTGTTATCTGATTTAATGCTCAGGTTCAATACTTTAAGGTAAACATGATTTACTGTTTTTGGATGAGGAAACTGGGGCTCAGCAAGGTTCAGTGGCTGACTCAAGGTCATAGCTTGGGGGTGGTACTGCCAGCATTCAGTTTGACCCCAAATTCCACCGTAACTGTGTGGGGCCAGTAGTGTTCACATCACTACCAACTCCATCTGTGCAGGGGGTCTACTCATATTGAATGGTGAGGTGACTATGGAGGAGCTCAGATGCTGAGGAACTTGGAACCATAGATTTGAGTCCTGTAGCTTAGCAATTACCAGGGATAGATCCATGCTTATCAGGCATTTCTGGTCTATTGCATGCTATCCATCCGTCCTTGCATCAATCCATCATCCATTCATCCATCCGTCTGATCATCTGTCCATCTAGTCATCCATCCACGTATCCATTCATCCATCTATCCAATCATCCATTTTTCCAGCTAACCAACATGGATTTTCATTCATTCAAAAAACATTGCTATCATTCAGAAGCCATCCTTTCTGCCCCTTATCACCCAGCTCCTCTGAGCTCCCCTGACCTGCTCACAAAGGGATACTGCCACAGTATTCTGGGGTCAAAGAAGGGCTGGTGAGGTCAGCTCACTGCCCCATTCTGGGGACCTGCAGAGCTCAGAGGAGCATGACTTATTAATGTCCTCCATTTATTTTTTGAGGCTGAGCAGTGGCGAATGAGAGACAGTACCTCTTTCAAGGTTGAGGGGAAGGTGGTCTCCTGCAGGTGGAACTGGGGCACACACTGCAGTGTGACTGTGAGGACGACTCCGAGGCAGCCCAGGTGCACGCGCGCAGCCTGGAATACCTCTGCGTTGCTGGACTCGGAACACTCGAGAATGGTCCCGTCGGCCATCAGCAGGGTCAGTGCCACCACCTGGCAGTGGGAGAAGAACCACGCTTCAGTATCCCAGGCTTCCGGTAAAGCCCTCACTTCCTTGTTTGTCCTTGCAAGTGAGGCCCAGTGTCTCCGATTCCCAGATGTATCTGGCCATGAGTCCCACCATGTATCTGACCCTGGGGACTTTCCCAGCTAGGTTTCCAACCCCAGACCGAGGGAGCCTCAGTCTTGGGGGAGGGTAGGAGGAGAAATGGAGTGAGGGGGCTGTGTCTGGGTGGCATCAGCCCTCAGCAGGGAGGGGGCCCATCCATCACAGGCATTTCCATGGCACCCCAGTGGCTTGCCCTCCCCCAGCTGCCTTGCTCATCCTGTGGATTTCAAAGTCAGGATTCAGCAAGCTTGTTCTCTGCCTGGAAGAGAGCTAAGATGAGATCAGTTCCAAAGAGCCACGAGGCCCTGGGTGGGGAGCTGGCCATGCTGTCCCAACACGCAGCCCTGGGGACCAGAGTCTCTTGCAGGCTGTCTGCTTGCTGCCCTCCTGAGCACCATCTCGGCCAAGTCCAGTCCATTTTCTCATTTGGGGACCTCTCCCTTGCCTTTGGATCTAGAATCCCCTACTTGGCCCTACCAAACGTGGAATCTCTGGGCTCTGCAGAGTGGGCCACCCAGTTGGAGACAGGTGATGAACATCACTCTCCTTGCCCCTGTTTCCAGAGGAACCCTTCTTCATTGTCTGCTGAAGTCCCTGTCCACACTCTGCTATCCGCTCACTGGGACGGAAATTGCTTTTGACATGTGCAGTTGGCGGCGGGGTGCCCAGGGTGAGAGAACAGATAAAGCTGAACTAATTCTGATTAACAGCGACCAGAACCAGAGAAGAGAAGCTGGCAGAAGTGGGGCACAGTGGCCTGCTGTGGGAGTGAGGGCGTTAGGATGATCTTTATTAAAAACAAACAAACAGACTTTGTTGGAGATCTGGGGCTGAGCTGAGCACTGGCCAGTGAAACAGCAGCGGGGTCCAGCGATAATAAAGGAGGGCCCTGACTCACCAGCTGTGTGATCTTGGATGTGTGACTTAACCTCTCTGTTTCCTCATTTGTGAAATGAGGGTCATAACCATCTCAGAGAGAGTAGGTGAAGCACTCAGCTAAGTGCCTGGGGGACAGTAGATACTAAAGATGCCAGTGTCTTCCCCTTGCTCCCTGCCATCAGCGTACTTGTAGAATTAAACAGAGGAGCTCTCATCCCCACGTGCCAGGGCCTGTCTTGCTTACTTGGGCTTCCTAAGGGAAAGAAAGTAAAAGTGAAAGTCCCTTGTGAAAGTGAAAGACTCTTTGTGACCCCATGGACTGTAGCCCACCAGGCTCCTCTGTCCATGGAATTATCCAGGTAAGAATACTGGGGTGGGGTGCTATGCCCCCCTCCAGGGGATCTTCCCGACCCAGGAATCGAACCCAGGTCTCCTGTATTGCAGGCGGAAGGGGTGGGGAGTTGATAGCTTATCCCTTCTCAAGGGGCTCTTCCTGACCCAGGAATCGAACCAGGGACTCCTGCATTGCAGGTGGAAGGGGTGGCTCCCAACGCGTGTCGTGAACTGTCATTGGGCCCCCAAGCTCTCATACACACTGTCTCATTAACCCTCAATCCCCCACAGGTTGAGGAGGATTCTCTTGAGGTAACAGCTGAAAACAGGGATGCCCAGATGAGTTAAACAACCTGCACACATGTGCACACCTAATGCATGTGGGAGGCAGGTTTTGGGCCCACATCTGAGTCCCAAACCTGTGCCCCATACTGGACTCCCATGAAGTTTAAGAAATACTTTTGGGTGGGAACTTCTCTGGCAGTCCAGTGGTTAAGACTCTGCCTTCCAGTGCAGAGGGCACGGGGTTTGATCCTTGGCTGGGGAGCTAAGATCTCACATGCCAAAAACCAAAACATAAAAAAGAAGCAATATTGTAACAAATTCAATGAAGATTGTAAAAAGTGAAAGAAAAGAAAGTGAAGTCATTCAGTCTTGTCAGACTCTTTGCCACCCCACGGACTGTAGCCTGCCAGGCTCCTCCACCCATGGGATTTTCCAGGCAAGAGTATTGGAGTGGGTTGCCATTTCCTTCTCCAGGGGATCTTCCTGACCCAGGGATTGAACACTGGTCCCCTGCGCCGCAGGTAGACTCTTTACCGTCTGAGCCACCGCGGAAGCAAAGTGGTCCACATCAAAATAATCTTAAAAGCTTTTGAGTGAAGGTCAGGTGTGATCCCAGGCCTGTGTGCTCGGCTCCTTCTTGGCTCCTCCCCAACTTGCTAACTTGGAAAGGCCCTACACCCTGCCTGGCTTCCAGTTCAGAGCTTTCCCTGGGGTGGAACCCTTTGCTCTGCTTGCCCTTTTCCCCAGGGTGGCCAGGAAGCTCCCCAGAGATGGGGAACTGTGTCAACACACATGGGGGTGGCTTTGTCACTTGTGTCTGCTGGGGACTCATGAGGTTCAGAGAGACAATGTTTCTGGAGGGCCCTGCAGAGTCTCCATCAGAAGAGAGACCCAAGTGTGTTCAAGGCCCCCACAGAGCTCTGCCGACACCATCCTGGAATGCCTGCTTGTCAGGAGCACCGATGACAAGGGTGAAGGGGCCCTGGCCCATCCTCCCCTCTCCCTGGTGGTCAGCATCGAAGCAAGTGAACTCACTTGTGTGGCCAGGATGCCGTGCTTGATCCCCGTGTTGTGGGTTCCAGACCCGATGACGCCACCTGCTGTCACGTCTGACACAGCTCCCAGGCTGGGGGGAGGAGGAGGGACACAGTCAGGCTTCCTGGGACAATACCTCCCAGGGTTGTGGTGCAAGGCCCCTCAGAGCTCAGGTCCATCTCCTGCCTGGGAATCTCGTCCCCAGTTCAGCTTGCAGAGTCAGACATGACTTAGCAACTAAACAACAATTTCTTTCTATTCTCATATAATGGCCCCTGGACACCCAGGGGTGGGGAGATGAGTGCCCTGTGGGGATGGGACAGGGATCCAGAGAAACAGGTGCATCCTAAAACGTGCTCCTCTCTGGCCCCTGCCAGATCCTTGAGTGTCTGGCTGAGGTCAGGGTGGGGAGCAATGGTCATCACTGGCACCTGCCCTGGGAATGGGCGAGGTGGCTCTTACTTGGACAAAGCCAGGCCATGCTTGTCCAGCTGCGGGTGCAGGTCAGTCAGGAGGATGCCGGCCTCCACGGTCACCTGCTTCTTCTCTGTGTCCACCTGCAAGAGACCGGCACAGGCTAGGATGAGCTAGGCAGTCACCCAGCCCCCGTCCTGCAGCCATGCAAGGCTGTGAGTACGAGCATGTCTGTCCCAGCCCACAGTCAGCCCAAGCTGCCTCCTGCTGCAGGCAGCCAAAAGGGGGTGCAGGCAGAGCCCTAGAGTGCTGGGGCTCAGTGACTGTCCTTGCAACCCTTCTAGTCACAGGGGAAAGAAATAAGGGGCAGGGAAGAGAAGAGGTTTACTCAAGGTCACCATAGGGCTGGGACTGGCGCCCAGGTCTCCTCAGCCACGTGGGACAGTGGTTCTATGCCCTGACACTCCTGGCTACCCGTGGTGGGGAAGGGAGGGGAGGAGCAGTCTTTCCATTTCACAGCCTGGAGACTAAAGTTCAGGGATTCTAAGTCACTCGCCCAAGGTCACACAAACATCGGCAGTGGAAACGAGATAAGAATTCACATCTGTGGACTCCAGAACACACATTTCACCGACCTGAGCACAGAGCCTGGGCAAAATCAATTACTAGAGCCCGGTCCTCACTAATTAGCAATCAGAGTTAATTCCTGCCATGACTGATGTTTTGACCAGAGCATTTTCTACGGGGTGGAGATGGTTGGCCTGAGCAAATCAGGAAATAAATAGTACAGAGAAATCTAGAATCTCTGCTAGCAGAGATGGAGGGGCAGGTACCAGGCGAAAATGACAGCTCAGAGGAGCTGGCCCTGTCGGGTGGGAACAAGAGCCCTGCATGGCCTGCTCCCTCATCCCTGGCAGGCTCCTGGTTGTGGGCAGGGGAGGGGAGGGTGTGAGCCGCTTGAATGAATGTATATCAGCACAGGGCTGGTGTCAGACTCCCGTGTCTGTGGCCAGCTCTGCCGCTGGTCAGCTGTGTGACCTTAGGCAAGTCACGCCCCCCTCTCTGATCTTCAGTTTCCCAATATGCAAAACAAGTTAAGTGTAAATCCTGGATTTGTCATGAATCCACCTTTGGAGGCCTGACTTGTGGACATCCTCTCTGTGGCCACAAGGGTGCACACAGACCAGATGTGAGGCTTGAAGGAGTCCAGGGCAGGCCCTGTGGGGGGTGAGGGTGATCACAAGTGGACCAGGAATGGGGGGGGGGTCACTTGGGACTCAAAGGCCAGGAGGGGATGAGGCATGAGGGAAGAGGAGCCTCCACCTCCACCCTGGAGTCAGGGAAGTGGCATGGGGTGCAGCTGAGGCAGAGAGCCCAGAGCTCCGAGTACCTTGAGGACGCGGTTCATCATGCCCATGTGGATCATGAAGCCGTCAGTGCAGGCGATGTCTGAGGGTGAGTGGCCACCACCCACCACCTTCACCCGCTTGTTCTGCTGCCTGGCCAGGGCCAGCACCTGTGGAGGCAGCACCTGCATCAGCCTCAGCCCGGGCCTTTCTCTGCGAGGCAGCTGGGCCACCCAGGCGTTGCATCCCTAGTCCCCCAGGCGCTGCCTGGCTGGAGGCCGCCGTGCAGGCCACTCCAGGAAAAAGCCAGAGAGAAGGGCCAGGAAGTGAGCGGGGTGCAGGCCAGCACAGCTCAGAAGAACCTTTGCACACAGGACATCAGCTCTTAGCTCAGTATGAAGCCTGTTTTCTCGGCATTCAAGGCCCTTATGTCTGAGGGTGAGTGGCCACCACCCACCACCTTCACCCGCTTGTTCTGCTGCCTGGCCAGGGCCAGCACCTGTGGAGGCAGCACCTGCATCAGCCTCAGCCCGGGCCTTTCTCTGCGAGGCAGCTGGGCCACCCAGGCGTTGCATCCCCAGTCCCCCAGGCGCTGCCTGGCTGGAGGCCGCCGTGCAGGCCACTCCAGGAAAGAGCCAGAGAGAAGGGCCAGGACGTGAGTGGGGTGCAGGCCAGCACAGCTCAGAAGAACCTTTGCACACAGGACATCAGCTCTTAGCTCAGTATGAAGCCTGTTTTCTCGGCATTCAAGGCCCTCGGATCCATTCAAAGCCACTCCACCTCTTAGCCGTCCTCTTTCGCCCTCTCTGCTCCGCAAACATTCCCACCCCCAGCCACTGAAGACTCTGATCATTCTTCACCTGTCCTCTCCTCATCTCCCACTGCTCTACCCCAGCTCCCTTTTGAGCTCCTATTCATCCTCCAGGCTGACTCAGTGATCATTTTCCTTCATTCTTCTGCTTGAGAAATTGGGGGCTTCGAATCCGGGTTTAAAATCTGGCTCTGATACTATTTAATAACAAGGGGAAATTCCAAAGCCTCTCTGAGACTGTTTGCCCTTCTGTTAAATGGGCTAATAATCACTACCTCACAGGTATGGATGGGGACAGGTGAGACCACAGATATGAAGCAGGTGGTGCTGATCACCAGTGGTGGCCATGTCATTCCCACGCATGCACAGGCTCACAGACATGTGAATCTCTCCCCTCTTTGTGCTCTGCTAATTCTAGTGAAACATCTGCATCCTCTGGGTTAGTCCTATGCAAACTGTCTTGGGGTAAGCCTTTCAAGAGCAGAGGTTGGGTCTTGTCCATTCATTCATTCATTCACTCATTCATTCAACAAATATTCATTAAATGCTTTCTGTGTGCCCGATAAAGGGCTAGGTGTGCTAAGGATGCAATGGAAAACAGGAAAAACGTGGCCTTACATCCTTATGGGGGAGAGAGAAAAAAGTATGAAAAAGTCCATGTCAGTGAAATAGCTGCAGATTTTGAATGCAGTGAAAGAAATAAGCAAGGATCCGAGATGCAGAAGATGGGGACATCCTCAGATGAAGTGGTCTGGAAGTCTCTGAGGAGGTGATTTACCCTGAGTGCTAAAGGATGCAAAGGTGTTGGTCCCGTGAAAAGTGAAGGGTCAGGCATTCCAGGTAGTGGGAATAGCAAGGGCTAAGATACAGAGGTAGGAAAATGTTTGGTCTGTCCTGTGATCAAAAGTAAAGAATCCGCCTGCCAGAGCAGGAGATGTGGGTTTGATCCCTGGGTCAGGAAGATCCCCTGGAGAAGGACATGGCAACCCACGCCAGTATTCTTGCCTGGAAAGTCCCCTGGACAGAGAAGCCTAGTGGGCTACGGTTCACGGGGTCACAGAGTCGGACAGAGATCAGTGGTGAGGCCATTTCAGGCCGTGGCAGGTGGGGAAGGGGTGGTGGCCGGGGCTTTGTGACACCAGTGTTGGAGAGAAGGAGGTGGATTCTAGAAACTTCCAAGCCAGGACTTGCTGAAGTCAGATAAGGGTAAAAAAGGGACAGTGACCTATTTCCTGGCTTCCAGTTTGAGCAACCAGGTGGTTGGTATAGAGTTAGGAAGACCGCAATAGAATAGGTTGAAAGCAAACAAACATCAAAAACATCCTTCGGGGCATCAAAGTTTGCTATGTCTCTGATGAAAGAAGTCATATGCCAATCTGCAGCTCAGAGAAGAGACCTGAGCCAGAAATAACAATCGGGCAGTCACTGGTGGGCACCCCAGGTGGTCACGTGAAAGTAGAGTTCAGCTGGAGGCAAACCTCATGGTGCTGTTGCCCAACTAGCAATTCTGGGGTGGGGATGGGGGTCTTAGCCGGGAAGTCCTCCTCTCAGCCTCCTCTCTGGGGGCATTTCTGAGACACATTCCTGATCCGGATGGAACTGGAGGTCTGGTGGCTGGACCATCAGGCACTGTTCTAAGATACTCACCTCTCTGATCTCCTCCACGGATGTGGGCTGAAAGTACATCTCCGGGCAACAGCCATAGGTCCTTGCCCAGTTTTGGAATTTGACCCCCTTGTACCCGTGGACCTATGTGATAGGACAAAAGCTGAGTCACCTCCAGTGAGTGGTCTCAGACTGCCTGACCCCCATCCTTCCACTGCCCTGACATTGTAGAGATGGGAGGCTGCGGCCATGGCGCTGAGCCAGCCTCCGGGTTTGCCCTCGTCACCCCTCTGCGCCCCTGGGAAGCCTAAACACATGTCAGAAGTTCTGAAGCCAAGTGGCCATGTGGGGGCTTCCTGCTACCATTTTCTTCCATCAGCTCATGGTGGAGGGAGGCGGTTCTGGGGCTGGGCAGATCATGCAGAAAACTCAGCACTCTTAGGAGAAGCAGGGAGGTGAGATCAGGGCTGCGGCTGGAGAAAGCAGTATTTGGTTCCTGCTCCGGTGTGGTGACCCCTCTGAAGGGCCCAGTGGTACAAGGCGCACTGGGCTGAGTAGGGCAGTGGGGGAGGGGCTGCAAGAGCCGGCCCGGTGGCCCAAGAAGGAAGGAAACTGGCCTTCAGCTTCCCTGCCAGTCTTCTCCTGCAGGAAGGGGTGCATCTGGGAGGCTCCATGGCAGCCTTTCCTGGCCTGGAGGCCAAGCAGGGAGCCCTGGGAAATGGATTTCCATTTGAGGGACCCCTGCTGTGTGCCTGGGTTCCTCCACATGGCATACGTTTTTAGGCCTTACAGTGATACCACCGGATGGATGATATCAACGCTCATTTTCAGGAGCAGAAACTGAGGCCCAGAGAGGTGCAGTAACTTCCCCAAGCTCACACAGCCACCCAGGAAAGATACAGGAGCGCAGCCCAGGCCTTCCTCTTCTATCCCTTCCCCAGCACCCCAGCGGCTCCTCAGAGCCTCGAGTCCAATTTGAAGGCTTCCCTGTGGCCACCCCTCAGCCCCACACTTGCCCAATTTTGCCCCCCTGCCCCAAGCCAGGTTCACGGGCTCAGTCTGGATGTAGCCGGTGGGGCTGACCGGCCGAACTGACCCGACCAGCGGTGCCATTTGGCCCTACCATGGCTCCAGTGGTGGGTCGGTGGCCTCGGCTGACTCCGGCTTCCTCTGGGAGCAGAGTGCAGGGCAGCAGGGCCCTGGGGCAAAGCAGAGGTGCTGGAAGCAGCGGTGAGGTGACAGCGAACACAGAGGTTCAGCGAGGCACAGAGGGGCCCACCGGAGGCAGATAGGCCGTGTGACGACAGGCTCCACCCAGACAAACAGCCGCTGGGCCGGCCTTCTGCCCGTCAGCCCCTCTCAGGCAGCAGATGGGGAGGCAGCCTGCACAGGGTGGCCGGTTTTCCCCCAAAAGCTGGTGAGCTCTGACCCCAGGAGGGTCTTTGGGGGCTTTCTGGAGCTAAAGGACCCCTGGCCTTGAAACTGAGTCCTTAATGCCACAAATCAGGGGAGGTCGTGACCTGGGGCCCATGTGTCAGTTCATTTGTCAGAGTTGGGGGAGGATTTCCCCAGGCCGCCCACTGCTACAGGGAGACAGGACAGGATGCTGGCTGCTGTAGCGGGGCTGGGGTGGGGGGAGGAGAGGGACAAGTGACGCAGCCCGGGCAGAGTCTCCTAGCTGAAGTCTTCCTTCTCCAGGCCGTAGGGCAGACAGGCCCGCGTTCCTCTTTCGTGCGTTGCTGGTTAACCTCCGTGAACCTCAGTTTTCCCTTCAGTAAAGCGGGGGCATATGCATCTGTGCCGAGTTGCTTCAGTCGTGTCCAACTCTGTGTGGCCCCGTGGACTGTAGCCCGCCAGGCTCCTCTGTCTATGGGATTCTCCGGGCAAGAATACGGGAGTGGGTTGCCATTCCCTCTTCCAGGGGATCTTCCCGACCCAGGGATCAAATCCACATTTCTTAGGTCTCCTGCATTGGCAGGCGGGTTCTTTACCACTAGTGGCCCCTGGGAAGCCCTAAAGTGGGGGCACTTTTGCCTACTTCTCTGGGCAGACATCAAGGTTAGAGCAGACGTCTGAGAAGCCCTGGGACACGATCAGAGCCTGAAATGGTATCAAGCTCCCGGCTCTGAGCTTCCAGTGGCAGATTCCTTGGGACATTCTTGTCCACGTCACTGCCCCTTGGCTCCACGCCTGGCACCGCCCTGGCCTCTGAGGCACGTTTGTGCAACAGAACAGATTAACCAGCACTGAGCACCTTGGCATCAGATCTGTCCAGGCCAAGAGCTGGGGTCTAGTGGGAAGTGAGGGCGACAACGCTGGGGTTTGGGAGGTGAGGCTGGGCTGGAGGAGCAGAGCGTGGGGCCAGACACACACAGGAGAAGTTCTGGGATGGGGTGGTCCGAGTCACACCTGTGTTCTCAAAACCAGGGTCTCACACAGCTTACCAGGTACAGGTGTGTATTCATGTTCGCGTGTGTGTGAACATGATCACACCCGCCAACTGCAAATGTATGTGCTGGGGGCGGGGGTGGGGTGGCAGCTACATGCGCCCCACAGGGAGATCCCAGCTAGTGGAGATGCTGCTCTTTATGATCGCTTAGAGGCTGCTCAACAGCAGAGAGGAAAGAATGGGATGGGTGCCGAATCTGCGGAGTGCAGGGCCACAGAACAGAGCCGACTGGGGACAAGAGATGGAGCTTGTGTTATGGGCTGAATCGTGTCCCCTCCCCCACCCTTAAGTTTCTAAGTTGAAGGCTTAACCCCCAGGGCCTCAAAAGGTGACTGTGTTTAGATAAGGTTGTTTAGAAATAATGAGGTTAAAATGAGGTCATTAGAATGGGCCTTGATCCAATACAACTCTGGATCCGAGGAGATTAGGACACACACACACAGGCTTCCCAGGTGTTGCTAGTGGTAAAGAACCCGCTTGCCAATGCAGGAGATGGAAAAGCTTGTTTCCCACACTTCAGGCAAAATGTGTCCCGCCCCCACCCACAAATGCCTCTTAAAACTACAGCTGAAGCCAGGTTTTCTCCTTTGGGCATATGCATTCCAGAACATTCCAGAACATTCCAGAAGCTGGGCGCCATGGGTGTGGGTGCACCTGGACTGTGCCCCCCAGCTGTTGGGGGCCGCTTTCTGTTCTCCGCTGAGATGCCCTGGAGCCCGGAGTCACCCATCAGGCTTGCTTTGTTACTCTGTGCTGCTGCCCTTGCATGGAACTCGTCCTCCCTCACTGCCCTCAAACCAGGAGCATCACTCCTATAAATTGCCCTTATTGAAGAAAATAAAATGACATGAAAAGAAATAAAAAGATCAGCAAAAATGGTGTCTATCAGTTAATTCAATCTGCGTCGCTGCCGTCTCGTGGTTGAGGTCGATGGTTTATCGCTTACTCCTTGTCTGAAGGACTCAGCTTTTTCTATACTTGCTGAGTCTTAACTTTTTGCTGGCAAGGGAAATTAATGTTGCTGTTTTGATGGCCACTGAAGCTCGTTTTTTTATCTTTTCCTGTGCTTATTAACAAGTGAAAATGAGTCCTTAATATACAATAAATTAAGGGCAGGAGGAGAAGGGGGCGACAGAAGATGATGGTTGGATGGCATCACCGACTCAATGGACACTAGTTTGAACAAACTCCGAGAGACAGTGAAGGACAGGGAAGCCTGGTGTGCTGCAGTCCATGGGGTTGCAAAGGGTTGGACATGACTCAGTGACTGCACAACTTAACACATTTCTTTGAAACATGTGAACATCTGGAAGAGTGTTTAATGCTTTCTGATTGGCAGATACTCCTTCCGTGACCTGCTCAGCCAGCTCATTCGCTTTTGAAAAGGCTGATGGGAGGCATACAGTTCATTCAACACCTGACAAAGCAGGATGGCACGGTCTAAAATTTCCCTCTTAGGGTTCTGCCTCTTAGGGTTCCTTTCCCACCTCAATCCAGGATAACTGATGGAGACAGTGATGAAATAATCCATCTCCTGAATATTATAGAATAGAAAGTCGCTCAGTCATGTCCAACTCTTGGAGACCCCGTGAACTGTAACCCACCAGACTCCTCTGTCCATGGAATTCTCCAGGCAGGAATACTGGAGTGGGTAGCCATTCCCTTTTCCGGGGGATCTTCCTGACCCAGGGATCAAACATGGGTCTCCTGCATTGCAGGCAGATTCTTCACCATCTGAGCCACCAGGGAAACCCCTCCTGAAGGAAGGACCTTCTGACAAGTGCTATAATATGGACGAGCCTGAGGATGACAGGGGCGCAGAACGAGCCAAAATGTGCTCCTTTTGCCTGACGAGCTAAAGGCGGTAGAGACCCTCTGGGTTCAAGAGAAACTATTGCTCCTTCCTCAACTACCTAGAATTCAAATTGGGGATTTTTGTAGAAAAGAGTTATTACCGAAAATAAATTTTATCTGAATGGCACCATCTACACAGCACTGAAACTGAAAAGAGAAACTGTTGGTCGCTCAGTCGTATCTGACTCTTTGCGATCCCATGGACTGTAGCCCACCAGGCTCCTCTGTCCGTGGGATTCTCTGGGGAAGAATACTGGTGTGGGTAGCCATTTTCTTCTCTAGGGGACCTTCCCAACCCAGGGATTGAACCTGAGTCTCCTGCATTGCAGTTGGATTTTTTACTTTTCTGACAGCAGGGCCAACACCTACTCACCCAACATCTGAAACATGGAAATATGGATGGAAATTAGACAAAATGTATTTAGCCAATTGCTAAGAAAGTATTTTATCATTTGTGGCCAGCTGGGTTCCTTTGAATGCGAGGTATGATATTTTCCATGAAATTTTTATTTCTTTTCTTTTTCTTTCTTCCTTTTTTTTTGGTGTGGACCATCTTTAAAGTCTTTATTGAATTTGTTGCAATATTGCTTCCATTTTATGTTTTGGTTTTTGGGCCCAAGGCATGTGGGATCTTAGCTCCTGGATCAGGAATCAAACCACCAGCCCCTGTGTTGGAAGATGAAGTCTCAACCACTCGATCACCAGGGAGGTCCCCAATTCTTGTTTCTAAAATCTTTGAGCTTCTGATCTACATATTTTCTTCTCTGACCTACATATTTTAACCATCATTTGGTTTTAATTTGTGTTCATGTTAGCGTCAGTGTGAACAGTGGGCCTTAGAGTTATTGCCAGGCCTAGAACCAAGGCTTCGTTAGGCTCCAAGAGAGACAAAAATAGCTTTTTGTTGCGTGTTCTAAATAGATCTACTTTTAGAAGACATTTCTCCTGGAAACCTTGGACACTGCTAGTTGACAGTCCTGGGTGTGAGGACAGTGCCTGTGAGCTTGGCATTCCTGCCCCCACTGGGACGTGGGTGTCAGAGAGAACGTGGGTTCTGCCACGCTTCTTTTAAAAAGCTCACTAGCTGGCTCAGTGGTAAAGAACCCACCTGCCAATGTAGGAAATGCAAGTTTGATCCCTTGATCGGGAAAGTCCCCTGGAGAAGGAAATGGCAACACACTATAGTATTCTTGCCTGGGAAATCCCATGGACAGGGGGGCTTGGCGGGCCACAGTCCATGGGGTCGCAAAAGAGTTGGACATGACTGAGCACTCGCTCCCTCCTCCCTCCGCGAGGTAAAGACACTTTGTTATTTATGCCTTCCTAGTCTGAAATAAAAATGACATTTTAAAATCAAAGCAGTTTGAACATACATCAAACAAATTGCACTCAACATGGCCTCTGAAAAGTATTTTTGGGAATGACCTAGACGCTTTTGCCCGATGAAGAAATTTTTTTTTAAATGACCTGCAGTCTTGTATGACTGGTGATATTTGTGTTGCAGTGCTATGAGCTTGATTCATCTGGCCCTTATTTGCCAAACGAGAATTTCTGAACATTTTGAATAGTTTACGGAGATTTCTGGGTAGAATTCTGGAAACGGAAACAGGTCAAAGAGGTTTGCCTACTTGTGTTTTTTCTGATGAAAGATGTTTTAAGATTCTTTTTTCCAGCAACTGGGCTTCCCTGGTAGCTCAGACGGTAAAGCGTCTGCCTGCAACGTGGGAGACCCAGGTTCGATCCCTGTGTCAGGAAGATCCCCTGGGGAAGGAAATGGCAACCCACTCCAGTACTCCTGCCTAGAAAATTTCATGGATGGAGGAGCCTGGTAGGCTACAGTCCATGGGGTCGCAAAGAATCAGACATGACTGAGTGACTTCACTTTCATCTGCANACCTTTGTTGGCAAAGTAATGTCTCTGCTTTTTAATATGCTGTCTAGGTTTGTCATAGCTTTTCTTCCAAG